ATTTTTTAACAAATAAACATAAAATCACAAAATAATCAAATTAATTAATTAAAGTTAAAAACACCATTATACCTAACATTAAGAATACTTGTGTCTTGATATCCTTGAAAACAAATAATGAATAAATCAAACACAATTATTTTATTAAAATTATAGAAATTGTAACATCAAACACAAACCTCAAACAGGGGAACTGAAATTTTGTAAGAAAATTTTAGTTTTCGAGTCCCATAGGCACATCATTTATTTACTAGCAATAGTAGAATATATCTTCAAAATATTTCTGATCTCATCACCTTAAAACAATGAGCCTGGAAAGCCTTGATCGTCATGGCAGCAAACGAAAGATGTGTATGTCTCCATGATTCGGAGGCACTCGGGGCACCTCATGCTCTCTGGGACCCTCGTGGTGGTCGGGAACTCGAAACGGCAACACGGGTGAGCAACATCATGGAGCCGATCATGGTACTCCTTGAACGCCAACTTAAAACCTTTATCTGTAACATTTACTTTCCATTCATCATAGCCACCTAAAGCAGGCAAAATAGTTGTGGAGTGGCCATTGACAACAATATCAGACCCATGGCTAAGCACCGCCCATCCCCCTTCTCTGCCATAGCTAAGCAGCTTCTTTATCTGCAGCATCATCGGGTCTTGGTCGTCGGCTCGGCCTAATTGAATCTTCGAAAACAGCATGCTTTCCAGCCTGGCCCAGAAGAACCAAACCATGGCTTGGTCTTGCCAAGCATGGCTAAGATTCTCCACATTGATAATGGTAGTCACTTTCTTGACTTGCTCTCTTTTGTTGCTTTTCCCTACATAGACCATCTCTAGAGGAATGCCGGATGCAGACGCAACACCGCGTGCAGAGGATGCAAATTTCCTAATCCACTCGATATCGTCCCCTCCGTACAAGAAAATGAATTTCTCCTCTTTAATCTGACCAAATTAAGTTCAAAATCTAGTATTAGACGCATATAGTATGTGTGTACATACTATGTATGTATGTATGTATGTACGTACGTACCCAATTGAGGATCATCGGGTCAATGCCGTCAATGAGTAGCTCGAGCCGCCATGTTTCTTCCCTCCAGAGAGCTTCTTCTCTCAAACTAGTGAAAGGGAATGCAGAGCTTCCCCAAATCCACATCATGTGGATTGCATTAGGGGAGAGCACTTTGCCTTGAGGGTCTAGGACCACAAGGATTGGCTTGGTCCTGAAGTGCCAAACCTCCTTAATGAACCTAATAACCGGCTTCTCTATGAGCAAAGGGTCCTCCACCGAGTACCACGGCATGGTGCTTCTCAGGGTCTCAAATTTGGTTCGTGTTTCGTCACTCAAAGGGATGATGGAACGGTCTACAACCGGGATCCAAACCACCTCATACTGGCTCTCTAGCCTTGTTTCATGGATCCTGGAGTCATTGTATATCTGCTCAAGAATCGCGAGCTCGTCGCTTGAGAATTCTAGGCTTGAAATTAGCAAGAGCACATTCTTCCTTCTCAGGACGTCCAGGCCAACCTATGCAACATGGCACAAGGTTACGGAACATATCTGACAGTAAGTATCGTTAATGAAGATCGAGCTAAAACTGTTATAATTCTGTAAGAGATTGCTACCTTTCGCCTGGTAGCACCGTCGATAAGGGGCAGTTTATCGTCCCTGGCATAAATCAAGGCCTTTAGAATTTTCATGTTGTCGATGTGCATCACGTTCGGAGCAAAGAGATTCAGAAGCATCTGGTAAGTTTCGACATCTTTCTTCTCCTCTGCGATTAAACAATGATAAAATTAATGTCCATTAGTACAAAATTTCAAGTTTTGAAATTGTCTAATTGCTAACCGATATATTGGTGGCAAAAATTCAGCTGCTGCCTCAGATGTTCATGTATGTTTCGGAGCTTGTGAGCCAATGTTGACAACTCCCACGACTCTGATATTCCGTACCTAAAATCTAAGCGAACCTTGTTAATCTAACTATTTAATTAAGCATTCATCGTTAGATGAACCAGAAAAACGTACTCATGACCCATGGTTGCGAGGCTAGAAATTTGAACTGCACAAGCCACCATGCTTCGAATGGTCCAATAGACAGCGGTCGGAATAAGGTTCAAGGCAGTGGCTAGTGCAGGTGCGTCTTGTGAAATGTACATCGCTGGGAGCTCCTTAAACTCGACAACAGATCTAGTGACATCCATCATTGTACGAATCAAATTGTTGAGTGCTTCAAACCTGGGTTTCAAGGGAGCCGTGTGCTCCAAGAGTGATGGAAGTTGCTTCAGGATCGCCATTGACTTGGCAAGCTGGTTCGTGGAGTAAATCTGAGCAAGAAGCCAGAATTCTCCATAGTTCAAAGCAAAGGCTGATAGAGACAGCACCAGCTTAGCATCCCACGTATAGCTCGATAGAAAATTGAATATCGCAGTCGTCGTTGCATGCGCATCGGAACCTCTATAAGCCTTGTAGGACAGCTGGTATTTAAAAATGTTCAGAAGATGGAGATGTTAGGCTTAGCACTTGCTCTTAGCAGTTAGCACACCATGAATAACAAATATAGCATGATTTTTCTAAATAAATTCGAAAACCTCGCATGCGATTCGATCGATTGTAAATGTAAGAGCTTCAAGCATAGCAATATAATTTGCTTGCTGAGTTTTTTCTTCCATTTCGACTCGAGCCTGAGTACCCTGCAGTGAAACATAAAGCAATGTGAGCATTTTTCAATCATATGTTCAACAATATAAATGCAGCATAGGTTATACCTTGACTATAACATCGACATGCTCGGTGGCGCGATTAAGGATGTCCTCAACCAGATAGAGAAGAGGCCGAACGTCGACTTCCCGACCATCGGGTGCATGAGTGGCCAAAATTTGATTCATCATCACATTGTCATCAGACATGGCTAACATGCCAGTGGTGCGGTCGGCCCGGATGATTGCATGACTAGCACTAGGATTCTTCATATGTGCCTGCTTAGAACCAGGAGTGACAATTTGTTGCTGGCCGGTGGAAACAGAGCTGTCGGGGAGTGATTGAACCGTGCCATGGTTATGGACCGGCGACGGCTTAGAAGAAGCTCCACCGGGCTTGTTGACAGGTCCTTTCACAAGCGGATGAAGTGGACCGGTGTTTGTCGCCTGAGACATCGAAAAATATAACAAAAAAGAAGGGCTTTCAGTTGACAGAAGAGAGGATGGATGGGGTTGTTTCGTACATAGACATGGAGTATATATATAGCCATTGGAAAAGGAATAAAGCTAATATGAATCTATTTCCTTGCTTCGCACACAATTAAGATAAAAGTGTGGTTCAAGACTCGGTGTCAGGGACACAGCGGACTTCAGTGAGGAATGGACCGATAGAACAGCAGTTGGTACAGTTTATAAAAATTATCTTATATTTTTTGTTAATAATTTGTTTTCATCCTAGAATTTTACAAGTCTATCCTCCTTTAAAATTTTAAAAGTTTATGTCCAAAAATAAAATCCTACGTTCGTGCTTGCGCCATTTAAGCTCCAAAGACTTGAAAGTGAGACATCGTCCGAGGTAAAGAATATGCAGTATAAAAAATAACTTTGGTGGCAGCAGACAAAATAAAAGTGAAACGAGAAACAAGAGATGCCCGTGCCACTGTTGTTCTTTGCTTCTTTACGTATGCCAATTACTTCAGATTTTCTATCATTTGCTTTATTTCTTTTAAATTCGTCATTAAGACAAGTGTTAAGAAATTTGATTCTTTACTCTTTAGGTAATCAAAATGAAATCACAGTTTAACCAAATCTGACATCCTTGCTAATATTTGATTTTGCTTTTATCTTTTGTCGGGAAACATGAATTCATGTACTGATTTTTGTTTCTTTATATACATGATAACTTATAACTGAAACTAGATATTAATAACCAAAGTTCGGTTTGATTTGAAATTCGAGTCTAAAATTTCATCTGTAGATTTTTAATTTTAATAGTTAAAGAATTGTTGTTATTCTTTGAGGTCTTAAGTTCGAGCATTGAATATACAATGATGCATAAACGTTCAATATCAAACAATTGAATGTCTTCTAACAAATATTATTCCATACTCACAGAATAATCAAAGAAAGATGAAGAATAATAAAATTGTTACGGACTATAAAAAATTATATTCTTAAATAGGGTGAAATGAATAATATATAAAGAAAGTGTTGACAGTAGTATTTAATGTCTTCAAGAAATTAATCGGAATATCTTATATTTTCGAAAAGATGATTGAAACACTTAATGTCTTCGAACACTTCTTCTCCTTCAACAAACCTTCTCTCTATGGCGATTAAACCTGATAATAATATGACCCTTCAAAATATTATTTAAGATTTTCATGAATTTATTTAAAAAAGAAGCAAGAGGAGCAGTCTTCTAGATTAGAAAATAGGACCCTGAATATTTTTATGGTGATAAAAATATTATGATAATGCAAATAATTAAAACTTGATTAATAAATTAAAAGAGCTCCTCTTCTAGTAGGATATGAAGAAACTTCTATTTCAAACTAACCAAAACAATAATTCTAACGGAATCGAATCTAGGTGCCAAATACGTAATCAATTTCCTTATCCAAAATAATAGTAGTAAATAAATCGATAAAGGGTAAACTACACGTTTAGTCCTTCATCTATCACTTCTTTTGTTTTAATCACCTAACTATGTTTTCCAAAAATATGTCTAATGTTATGTTTTAGTCCCTACAATTAAAAAATAAACATAACTACTAATGTTATATTTTTTTAATATTTGCAATGATGACGTGATATTATGTTACGATGATATGTTAATATCATTGTTATTTTTTTAAATAGTGAGATCAAAACAAAACAAAACTAAAATATTAAATATGATTTTATAAAAAATAATAATTAAGTGATCAAAACGAAACTAAAATAATAATTGACTGACTAAATTCGTAGCTTACGCATAAATAAAGCCTCTGAATATCAACCAAACCACACAAACAAAAGCAAAGACGGTGAAAGCTGTTTCTCGCTTCTTTTTCCTACTACACTACTGCTCCTCTCCCTCACTTTTCTTCTCAAAAGAATATATTTGCAGGTAGGGAGGGACCAAGAATCTTCAAAACGACGACGTAGAGAACTATGTCTTACGATTATCTTTTCAAGTACATCATCATTGGTGACACCGGTTGGTACCTTAATTCTCTGTATCAAAATTCCCATTTTTTTAAATACTATTTTAAAAAACGGGATTTTTTTGGTGTGTTGCAGGTGTAGGAAAATCATGCTTGCTTTTGCAGTTTACTGACAAGAGATTCCAACCGGTTCATGATCTCACCATCGGTGTTGAATTTGGTGCTCGGATGATCACCGTTGATGGAACACCGGTCAAGCTTCAGATTTGGGATACTGTAAAAACCCTAAGTTTTTAATTCCCTCCCCCTTATTATTATTTTTTTTTACTTTGTTGGGTTGTTTGGTGAAAAGGGTATTGAAATTTTGAAGTTTTTTAGCTGTGCCATACGAGTAATTTAGGTTTCGGAGCCAAAATAGTGTTACTGAAGATTCTAGATTCTGTAAAAGACTTGATTTTGATGTCTTCTTTTGGGTGTTGAGTAATGATTTTTTTCTGTTGGAAGTAGGAGAATTTAGGCTTAGGGGGACCAAGGAAGACAATTATGGGTTAATTTTGGAGTAGATTTTTTTTTTGGTACTAAATGAAAAGAGGATAAAGGAAAGTTTTATATGACTCTTTTTATATGAAATTATATTTTCAGCCATATATTAGGTATTTGTTTAGCTGTTTTGTCAGAGCTCTGCCTTCTTTCGTGTGAAGGGACCTTATTCATGAGTTAATTATTCCTTTTCACGTGCTTCCTACTCAAGGAATATGGAACCGGCGAAGCTTAGCTTATCTATGCATTTAATGGCTTATGTTTTCCCTAGGTCTACAAGTGAATGAGTGGCCGAAATATAGCTAGAGTTTGGTTTAGGCTTGTTTCATTAAGCTGAATGAATGAATTTGAACAAGATTTTTAAAGCTCGTTTTATAAAGAATGAATTTGAATATCAATAAACTTGATTTGTATGTTCATGAACTAATTCAATAAGTTGTTTGTAAACAAGCTCGATAAATGGTAGATTAAAGTTTGATTAAAATCGTAGGACAATTTCCTTGATTTCTGTCGAGCAGACTAATTTTAGCTTAAGCATTGGTTAGCACAATTCAAGTCGTGATTTAGATTTTGTATCATTGAGAACTATGTATGACATAGATTGAAAAAATATCCATTGTCTTCGAATTGTTTTTCCCCTCAAAAGAAAATTTACATCTGCTTAAAATGGAGTCACAATATGTTTGAGAAATAAAAGAGGACTGGGTTTTTATTAAAACTCAGTTAAGTAAAGCTGAGCTGAGTTCAAACAAGGTTTTTATAACTCAGCATGTGCTCATTTTACCTAACTTATTACCATCTAAACAAACTGAACCCAAGCATTGTAATAATTCACCTGGCCCGGTTTAGTTATCTCAATTAGAGGTGTTTTGTTGGTTGTGTGATCTTTTCTTATATCTTACTCATTTAATTGATGGATTTGAATCCCTCTTATGTGTGATTATATTTCAGGCCGGCCAAGAATCCTTCAGGTCCATCACCCAATCTTACTATAGAGGAGCAGCAGGAGCTCTTCTGGTCTATGATATAACCAGGTAAGAGACACAATATTTTTTCTGTGCGGAAATACTTGCTGTTATTTGCGAGCTATTGGAGATTAGTGAAACCGTTAAAACAAGGTTGTGATGTGCGAGCATGCTTAAAAAATGGGTGTGGATGAGGTGAAGGTTACTTGTGCCTGTATCTTCTGTTTCAAGATCTTTTCTTGCCCCTTGATTTTAGCAAATTGTTTTCCTCTCGGTTAAATTGCTAAGAATGGTTTATTTTAATTTTTTATACGACTTTCAAAGCTTACAAAACCTAGGTACGGAACATTTGGATTTTCTGATTAACTGCAAATTTTATTCTTGGGCAGGAGAGAGACATTTAATCATCTTGCAAGTTGGTTGGAGGATGCACGACAGCATGCAAATCCAAACATGACAATCATGCTTGTCGGGAACAAGAGTGATCTTTCTCACCGGAGGGCTGTGAGCAAAGAAGAGGGCGAACAGTTTGCGAAGGATAATGGGTTTTTGTTCTTGGAAGCATCTGCTAGAGCAGCTCAAAATGTTGAGGAGGTAAGTATTTAACCCCCCCCCCCAAGTGAAATCATATTATTTATAACTAGCCTTATCATTTTAGTCGGAATATATAGCTTTTCTTTATTCCTTAAATCATTTTTACTCGGGCTCAAGAATGAATGCCAAACATGGGTATTTTCCAGACAGATATGTTAAATTTTTTCAAGTGCTTCCATGTATTTTGAGAATCATACCCCTATACAATGTTTGAATATATGTTGGATACGAGAGTTTTGATTCGAGTACTTTAAGAGAAATGAATAACCGGAATGGCGTAGCGTAATGAATTGTTTTAACTAAAATTCTGAATCATCTTGTAGGCCTTCATAAAGACTGCTGCAACGATTCTTCAGAACATTCGGGGTGGAGTCTTTGATGCATCCAATGAGGTAATAATCAAGCCACTTTGTTTTAGTGTGATACATTCTCTTGAATGTCTAGAACCAAAGATACACATACCCTCCCATGGTTACATCCCGGCGGACGTCTAGAACCGAAGATACATTCTCTTGAATCTCGATGTTTCTTTCTCTATTTGGCTTGCTAAAGCTAGACTAATAATAAGTGTAAAGCTTTGGAGTCTTAGATATGGTTTAGCTAGTTCTACTTTTACTGAAAACTGCATTTTCTTTGAAATTATTGCAGTCGTCTGGTATCAAGATCGGCTATGGCCGTGCCCAAGGTCCATCGGGTGCAAGAGATGGAGCGGTCGCTCAGACTGGTGGCTGTTGTGGTTGACATGAATGGAAACAATGTTGTAAGCCTGTGTTGTATTTGATCCTTGTGTCCAATTTGCTTATTTCATCACAATATCATTGCTTCGAATATATATACTTGAGAAGTTGAATTAAGGAAACTGAATGTATAGAATTAGTCCTTTTTTTCAATTTCATGTAAATGTAGTTGTGTCATTTGTACTGTAACATATATGTTGATGTTTCCCAAGAATTTTAATGGCTATGAAAACTCAGTTGAATCAACTCTTGAGTCTGATCATTGTGGATGGATGCTCTACATTTTTTTCTTTCTTTTTGACGATAGATAATTTAATTGTTATCATTTAAATAGTTTACTAGTTTGATTTAAAGGACAAAATACACATAGTTCCCCTATTTTTTGTTGAATCATCTGACTAGGTATAAAATATCACTTGACTAGGTATAAAATACACGTAATCTTTTTTTGGATAGAAAGATTATGGACATTTGAGCCAAATGTTAATAAGCTAATTGAGATATGATAGTCGTTGAAAATCTTGATATTAAATTTTAACATATCTCAATCAACAATTTAACGATATTGTCGTTAATTTTTTTAATGAAAAAAATTTAGAACATATGAATAATCGGATGATCATTTTGTAATTTTTAATAGTCAGATGTCTCAACAAAGCAAAAAGTTATAATTGGAGTATCATTTTATAATTTTTAATAATTTAGGGAATCAACAAAATAATATCTTATAATCAGATGACTATTTGTGTACTTCACCCTTTTAAATTATTTTATATAGAGAGATTATGTATTAAAAGTTAGAATACATAATGTCCTCGTAATAATGTGACAATTATTTAGAAAATGAGTTTTATATATTTTCTTAAATTAATCAGTGCTGAATTAACTTGTAACAAAAATTTAATCAACAAGTATAGTTAAATATATATTAAGAGTTTATATTTATAAATTATAATAACTTTATTATTAAATATAAATTTGGTTCAAGTCAACTCAATTTTTAAAAATTGTTAAAACTGGTCTAATCTCACAAGAATTTGTGGACCTCACTAAATTCAAAGGTACCTAACGGTACTAAATTCAAAGGTGTATAACCAAATGAAGATACAGTGAATTTAGCTAAATTCACTACAGTCGAAGTTTGAATCCGGATTAAACTAAATCAAGAAGACCACCTTCATAATAAATTTTGCGTAAACTACCTATTTAATACCTAAACTATTACTTTTGTTCCATTTAATACCTAAACTTTTTTTTCAAAACCATACCTAATGGTTAGTTTAGGTTTCACTTTGGTATCCCACAGTTAAAATTAATAAGTTTAGGTACTAAACGTGATATTTAACTATAAAATTTTGTAGTGCATGATTTGAGTTAATTGATTAAAAAATATACTTTGGTTGCAAATAAAAACCGAAAGAATAGTCGATGAATTACAAGCAAAATAGTCCCTTTTAGAAGGCAAAAGGGTAACTTAGCTTGCGTTTTTCCTACTCTTCTTCTTCCTCGATGCAAAGCTGCTCAGTTCAATTTCGATGGAGATTCTCTTTGCTCTACAACAAGAGAGATGAACTAATTAATCCCAAAAATGAACTGACTAGAAATGCATTAATGTGAAGCAGGAAAAAAAAAACAACGTTCTTCAGAGATGATGGGCAAGGATTATAAACAAAGAGAGAGATAAAGCGAAGCACATTATACCGTCTTGAAAGCTCTTCGGACTCCTTCCCACGTTCTTCGTCCACAGCCTCTGATGGAAGAAATACATTGAAAGTTTAGGGACCGGACATAAAATCACAGTGTTCAACAAAATATTTGAAATTAACATTATAATACCTGGTTCGTTTTCGTCATCACCTTGGTCAGACTCTGAACCAGAACCCCATCGGTCCCCTCCGTCATCAAAGTCCCAACGGTCACCTACAGGGGGAATCCAAAACTCAAGTTCTTCGGAATCACTTTCATTTTCAGCTGAATCCCTAACTTCAGAGATAATTTCTTCCACTGCCTTTTCCTTCTTCTTCTTCTTCTTTTCTTTCTTTGGCTTCTTCTCGTCTTCTTCGGCCATGGTTTCACCCATTAACTCCTCCATTTCCTTTTGCTCTGTTGACAAGAATTTACCGAGAATTAACACAAATAAACCACTTAATCTAATTAATCAGAGAGCAAGATTTGAACCTAATTTATTGAGAAATCGTTTCCCATTGATATGCTTCCAAATATGCTCCTCGGACTTATTAACCGTATCTCCGGTTAGTTTACAAATCAACTTCGAACTTAAAAACAATCAAATAGAAACTTTGAATAAATCATATTGGCAGAAAACACATGAATGATGAAACAAACAAAAGGTAAGTGATCCACCTAGAGGTATAAATGAAACACATACCCTCACAACTTAGGTTTGCTTAAAAGAAATTTGAATTTGACTCGGCCATTGTTGAGTTGAGATGGACCTCAAACAGCCAATTTCCAATATCTCAATGCTATTAAAAATTTCAATTCAAAATCGAACACAAGCTTGAGCACAAATAATCAAGCTTCAAGCTAAATATAAAAAACAGGCTCAGTTTTGCTACTAGGTAAACGAGCCTAACTGATTAAGCACAGATAGTTTGATTATTGTCTCCAATCAAGTTTGAGCCTTAAAAGTGAAACTCAACTGAAATCGAGTCCGGGCCAAGCTTTGAATTTCGATTTTCAGGTCAATCCCGAGATCGAGCTAATCCCAAGCTTGAATTCAGCTCAGCTCCATTGTACGTCTCGATTCACCCTAACAGAATCCTCTATTATAAAATTATGAAATCCCAAAACAGAGACTCGTCATTGGTAATCGATCAAAACCCTTGTTTTTTACCCGAAAAGTTTGGGGAAATTTTCAACTTCTAACCCCAAAACATGAAAAATTCGACTGATTTGATTCTGGGTCTTCATAAATAGTTCATCTTAGCTGAAATTTTCAATCTTTGATAACCCTTTTCTTCACTTAACAACAACGAATTGGTTCTGGATTATACTAAGGAAAAAATCTTTAAATTCAATCAATGATATAAAAGAAAGAGGAAAAGCGTTGAACTTTACCGGGAAAGAGGGTCTTGTTTGAACATGTTGAGAGGGGGCTTGGAGTGAGATAAACCAAACTCGATGAGGCCTAAACGACAACGTTTGCTCTGAGCATAGGAATCCTTGTCTTTCACAACCATCTCGTGCCCTGTTTCAACGCACTTGAGCCTGCCGTTGGGGAGTTCCGAGAAGGTCGGAGGACCCAACAAATATGCCCCTTCTTTTCTTCCGCCGCCGCAACCTCCGCCGTTTCCTTCACTTACCTTCCCCATTGCTGCTGCTTAGTAGTGTTGCTCTCTTCTTTCGGTTCTTTGAGTGATTGTCTCCTTATGCACGACGACACCTTTTCTAGGTCTGTTTTAATTCAAACAAACGACAGCGTTTCAAAAAGCTGTTCTCATCTTTGGAGGGTTGCTGTGTGAATATGACACTATTGAAAACACACCTTTTCAACGTCGTTTAAGGGCTGACACGTGACTTCATCCCACTCCTTTTGCTAAATGGGATGCAAACGTTGTTGTGTAAACGAATAATATTTTATTTTATTTATATCATATAAAATATTAATATCTAAAAATATATAATATATTTAGACATAATTTTTTTTATCAAAAATTCATTCATAGGATGGAAAGAAAACAACATTCGACACAAGGTAGAGAGAAAACAGAACACGTCAAAGAGATGAGAATGGTAATCTAATATTGAAAAAAATATAAAATTTAAAAATGATGATACTACGCATTTATTAGACATATTTTTTTAATTTAATTTTTAATAATAAAAAATATAACTTTGAAAATTTATTAAAAAGGTGAAAGGGTAGCTTTGCTCTTGTAAGGAATCTAATTTATTATTTTCATTTATATTGTATTTTCGTATTAATTTAGTCTTTAAAGTTATTTAATTTCATCATTCTATATCCTATCTTTCACTTAAAACCTTAAATTAAGGGTTTTAAGTTAGAGATTAAAGTTTAGGGTTTAAAGGTTGTGGTTATGGTTTGGAATTATAAATTTAGGGGTTTAAATTAAGAATAGGATATAGAATAATGTAATTAAACAACTTTGAAAAATAAATTGATGTGAAAATACGACAATGACGAAAATGATAAATTGAGTATACTATAGGGACAAAAGTGGCCCTAAACCTATTAAAAATTAGGGTAAACTATATGTTTGGTAATTGAACTTTACTCTCTCTCTTATTTCACTCTTCGTACTTTCAATTTTTTTTCAATTTACTCACTGAACTTTATAGATTGAATTTTTTTATCACTCTGCTGTTAGAAAATTAATCGTGTTATGACATGGTCGTATTTTAATCAAAACGACGTTGTTTGCCAATTTTTTTTTTTGAAGATTTCAAAACGAAGTCATTTTTATGTAAGTCTTCATGTCATTACGTCGTTTAATTATTTAACGACAGAATGACAAAAAATTCAGTCTATAAAGTTCAATAAGTAAAATGAAAAAACTGAAAGTGCAATGAGTAAAATATGAGAAATAGTAAAGTTAAGTTACCAAATGTGTAATTTACCTTAAAAATTATAAAAGAATAAATATTATTAAAAATTATAAAATTTCTAATAGAATAATATAATTAGAGGGTGAATTGATAACGGAATCAATTGTAACTATTTATTCGTTGAATTATTGTATTTAAGGTTTGAATTATAATTTTAACAACCAATTTTATAATATTTCCTAAAGTGTTATACTTCTCTAATATTTTTATTTTTTTTAAAATCATTCTTAAATTATTCTTTTAAAAACTTATTTTTTAAATTATTTTTAATAACTTTTAATACATTTTTTATATAAATAAACTTGTGAATATCATGTGAGAACCCCAATACATCATATAATAGTTATAACTCCAGAAAAGAAATTGCTAAGATTTAATAGTCGAAATTAATCAAAAATCTTAATTGATTTAATTGTTGATTCAAAGACTAAATTAATTCAAATTATCAATTCCAAGGATTATTTGGGTACTAAAAAGTTCAAGTACTCATATTTTTTTAAAAAAATTGAGGGCTTTAAACACTTTGAAATTGTTTTTGGTTCACAAAATATAAGGTCGCCTTCTAATATTGAGAATATTATATTTTATAAGAATGTAAAATATTTGTGTTTAACTGGAGCTTAAACTTCTAATACTAAATTAAAAATATTTATATAAAAGTTTATAAAATTATTTTTGTGATACTATCTAAATTTTATGAAAGAAATTATTTAAACATTATTAATATTATTAATATATTAAACCTAAACTTTTAAATACTTTTCATAACTATTATATTTGTTTATATGTGAGATAACATAATATAAAAATGATAATATTATAATCTCGAATGCACAAAGATTTATCTTTCAATGTATAAGATTATTTTTTTTTACTTTTAATGACCTAAAGTTATGTGAGATTAGATTAATTACATTATATAATCTCATTTATATTCTACTCAAATAAAGCCACGTCATGCATTTTGTTCATAGTTTCAACAGCAGCAACTAGTCTTGGCCTAATGATGTTTGGACGTTTCATCTTTCCTATATTCTAAGCATCACATTCTTCTAAGTAATTCTATCATCACTAATTAGTTAGCTAACTTTGTAACATACCATACTAATAATACATGCATAAACAGGTCTTTGGAATACGTGTATGTTATAAAGGTGTCTTTATGAAAGATGTGGAGGTTCAAGTAACGCATGCATGCCAAACATAATGGAACATGTTAGAATATTAACGACTGGCAAAAACATTTCGATCGTAATGGGACATCGTTAGAATACTAACGACTGGTAAAAACATGTCGAGCGTAATGGAACATCGTTAGAATACTAACGACTGCACTAAGAGCTGTTAATGTGACACCTATAGCTCCTACTCTGCTGATGCCCTGAAACTAAAGCAACCAATTTACCATCCACTGCAGTTTTAGACCAACTTTGACAATGTTCGTGTAAATGGTGAGCATCTCGGAAGCCCTAGAAATAAAAGATCGACAAACACGTAGCAGTAAGCCGTGAAGAAATGAAGACAATATTCATCAAATCCATGTTCGAAAAATTCGATAAATAATGACAAAGTATCTTCATTATTCCACCCAACATAAGTGACTGAGCTAGTTAAGTTGAACCCTAGGGGCAGGAAAGCTCAAATGCTAAACATCTCAGTAGCACGATAAAGCAGATAGGAATAAAAGATGCATAATTGGATTTAACTGAAGAAGAAAAGTTACTGAATAGGTAGCAGGCCAAAATGATAACTTCCAAAAGTTGGAGCTGAAGGGAATAAACTAGACCTAAGCATGAGGGGCTCTGTGTCTTTCTGAAACAGAATTCAGTCCTTTTTTCGCAGTCCGGGAATTGGTCTTTGTTCGCTGTCCTCGGCAAGGCAATTTATCCTCATGCCTGATCCCTTTGTAGCATTGAAGACTTTTCAATCTGGCTATGTCCGCATTGATACACCGCCTCTAAATTACCCAAGGAAATGAACAATGTTAGAGAAAGTTTTCTAGAGCAAGGAAATAAGTTTATACCAAATCTTCTCCGATGACATATGTGGAAGAGACATGCTCGCGAAGAGCCATGAGTTCTCTTCCAGTTAATTCCCTAGTGAGTTTGTTATCTATATTGAGCTCGCTTAAGATTTGGTGAGCTCTGTTACGACCAATTCCATAGATGCTCTGAAGAGAAACTGCAATGCGCTTGTGGTCAGGAATTTCAGCACTTCCCACACGAATGCCTTGCACTCTTCTTCCATGGAACTGCAGAAAACAATAAGCTCCAGTTTATCCCAATGAACTATATACTTAGTCTACATAAAAGTACAAATAATCATAAAGGTGGTATGCAAAGCGGTTTTTGCACCCCCGACATCGTTCCTTGCTTGCTTGCTTGCTTCATCAACCTCAAATGCGTTCATCAACCTCAAATGCGTTCCTTGCTTGCTTCACCTCCTCTTGCATTGGTTTTATTCCATTTTGCTAAGCCCTTGTGATGTTGAATCAAGGTGGTATGCAAAGCGGTTTTTGCACCCCCGACATCGTTGCACCATACGACTACATCTTTATGTGGGATGAGGATCTTGGGGTCGAGAATTTTGATGCAGAGGAGTAATTTGTTAATCTCATTGTCTCGATCCGAATAGAAACATTTATCGAGTAAGCCGACTCTGAACTTCTTTGATTCTCAGGTACATAAAACTTGTCCGAAGACATGGTTTAGAAATATCGCAGCCCGGTTTAGATGTCCATAGTGCTACATATACATGGGCAATGACAATAAAGAAAGACAACACTGAAATTCACAGGTAAAAACCTCATATATGACTGCTTTCGCTGTCGTACACATATCCGTAACCGACATTCACTCCTAAGTCCAAGCAACATAGGTTTCGATACATCTGATCAATAAGACCTTTTGCTTTTTGCTACTGCAGGGATGTAAAAGAGAGACCAGGCTGGTGTACCGATCCGAATTTGCCTCCGTGGTCATCGTATGAAACATTATACATCATCGACATGTTGCTTATTTTTCAATTATTTTGCTAATCGTTCTCGTGTTCTCTTCTCGGTACTAAGATTTGGAGATTATGGCTACCATCTTCTCTCGGGATGCATGGAGATGTGTTTGGCATATGATTCAGGTAAAGCAGTGAGCTGATTTCTTCCGGATGTTATCATTCCTAATCTTTTTCCATGTGTGTGATATAGTTTCTCCTTTGAAATGGCAGAATGACTTGGTTCATGGATGGGGTCTAGATTTCGCTCTTCGGAAATGCGTCGAGGTTAGTAACAATCTTCTCATTCCGGCAATATTTGAACTCAATCGAGTCCTTCGTTGATCATACAACTTTGTCTGAAGCGGCCATCATGAGAAAATGGGCGTTGTTGATGCTCAGTGGAATATTCATCAAGGTGTACCGTCTCTGGGAACCAGGTACATGAAAACTGTAAAAGCACCTGCGTAGTTGCGTTACTATCTATCATATTTCGGTACTCTGTCCATAAATGTGACGGGCAAGAATGTCAAACACCGATACCTCAAACGAAAACGAGGAATCAGAGCAACATAAATTACTATTTCATATACACTATATTTCAATGGATTTTTCCTTCGTCTCACAGGGGCAACAGGACGGAAGAGCATCATGGAAAGGGGCATGCACCGAATATTCCTTCCTTTCGTTATTTTTTTCGTATCGTGCTCGTTGATTCTGCATGAATCACGGATGATTCTTTCAACGAGAGTAATACAAGTTCGTAATCTCCTATTTCAGGTGACAAAGAATGGAG